TCAGGTGTACATCGGCAGGTGATCGAACCCCGGACCATGTGCATGGTCTGTGAGAGTTCTAACCGCTGTGCCACCGACACACATTCACAGAGTGATACACCCATTGACTGGGTATTGGTTTTCAGGAGAACCAAACACACACCCATCCCTGCCTCTTGCGAGACGAGACCGCATGCAGGATCATCCTGTGGCGCAACCCCCTTCGAGAGCTCTCTCCCTCGGTGGACCATAATAACTCATTCATTAAATCATTTATCTCACTGCGTAACACTAAAATCTTTATTCAGCTTTTCTTATGTGATGAAAAATAACGTTACCTATGCTTGTAACAGCCCATTACTTTTGTTACTATCCATTTTCGTTAAAATAATTGTAGAAAAATGTGTCTGAACAGCTGAAGAGGAGAATGAATTCGTCAGAAATCGCCTTCTCTCTAAGTTACCTGTTTGGTTCTTTTTAATAATGCCTAGATGGCAATTATCCACGAATAAAAAAAATTGAGCTTCGGTTTTATTTAGCTCAAAGTACCTGATGACTTGTGGCATGAGCAGTTGAATACCACATAAAAACAACCTATTTTATTTGCGTCGGTGGTACAGCGGTAGAATGCTTGCTAACCAAGCGTCATGTGGTTCTGGGCTTGATCCACGGCCATCGACGCACTCCTCCGTCCCCTCGCTAAGTCAGTAACAAGACTGGTAAAGCAGGAAGGTTAGACATGAGACTAACAACCGAAACATCAAACCTCTAGGATTGAAGCCCAATGTTCCACTGGGAATGCGAAGGAATAAAAAATTATAATAAGTAAATTAAGAGACAGAGCTCATCATAACAAATTCATCATTTCGATAATCCAGGATTTCATTATTTAACAGAAAAACAAACAAAACTTCTTCTCTCACACTCAAAAGTTTGCCATCAGATCATTAATTTTACAAGTTATTTGTTATTATTTATTTATTTTGTTACAGTGTAAAAATTGGTTAAGATATGAAAAACACACAGGTGTATAACATCTGTCGATGTATCTCACTTTCAATAATAATAAGAAGAAGAAGAATAATAAAGTAGAATCCATTTAACAGAGGTGGAAAAGTTGTTCTAACTGGTAGTATTATAAGCAAAACAACTTCAGTTGTGTTGGTAGTTAGCGCTGTTATAATTAAGCATAACTTTTAAAATTTTATATGTCATTATGTGTTATTTGCTTTATTTAAGATTTGTGTAAAAATGAACTATCTTGAAGACATGCAAAGTGCTTGTTCCAGTCACAAAAAAAACATACTTGTGTAAATAATAATAAAAAATTTTCTTCAACGGATAGATAGAATACTTACTACCTTGTCTGCTTTGACATTATTTCAAGACAGGTAAAATATACAGTATAGTATGTATATATCTATTGTGGAATTGGAATGGAATGTACGCAGTCAAACTGAAATTTTTCTATAAAAGAAGTTCTAGTTAAAAAGTGTTTTTTTACTTTTAAAAGTGGCTGGAGTGTTGTATTTAGGTTGCTTAATGAAGAAAACCAGCTAAGATCCTATTACCCAAGAGGTGAAGAGATCACCAAGTAACAGGGGCTGTTGAGTAGAACCCGAACAGGAAACGACAGACGAGTTGGGCTTGATTCCAACAGTCCAACACGGAGGACAGCGTGTGAGGGTGAGACGAAGGCTTATGGGCAATCGTGAAGTCAGTTAAAAAGGACTACAGAGATGAGGATGACATGGAGATGTCCTGTTGAATCGCTGAACTGCACACAAGACCCTAGGGTGTAGTACCAATCACAACAAGATTATGATGTGGTTTTGTTCTCTGAGCGCATACTTCAAATTGAAGTATGCGCTGAAGATGTCACCCAGTAAGGTGATGAAAGCTTCGCAAACTAACCATCCAGCTCAGAGAACAAAACCACATCAAAATCATCCACCTGAGCTACAAATCTTCTCTATCATATCTACAACAAGATTACTTTGTCATGAAGTCACATCACTGCGACTTAATTTTGTATTATTACTTTTTTTAGTAGTAACTTTATTTTATGTAATTTACAAAATTTTCAGCAGAGTTCATTACCTAATATCTCCTCTGCGTCCAGGATCTTCAATTAAGAGGTTAACTGGCAGTAGGTTGTGTGATAGAGTTCTACCTGACCTGAAGAGTAAAGCAATCCTTCATTGTGATATCTCTTCTTTGAGAACTACATGACAATGGATTCAATGCTGGTTTCAAGAAGTTCAGCAGTACTTCTTAGTGAACCGAGGACACCAGTCAGGAACCGTCATCTCATGTATTTAGAATAAACTGTCATTGATGACGGTCTTCTTCTCATGTTTAGTAAACACTTGTCAATCAGTAGGTTGAAAATGTTTTAAATATTCGCCAGAGTAAAATATACTATTAAAGGTCATATTTCCCTAGATTTAAACAAACTGATTAACAGAAGTTATATGCAATACGCGACGATAGAAGTTTTTGGTAGGCCAAGTTTTAAGCAGGCAGCGGATTCACTGTAGCTAGAATCATTACTCAGAAAAACCAGATGATAGCTCAAACTAACATGATTCAATTTTAGATGTCTTAAGTTTTACAAGTGATGCTGAAAATTAGGTGGTTAGTGAAAAATGTAAGCAACTAATATATATGTTATAAAATCTTATCCCCAAAAAATGATAGTAAGGAAAGAGTGATATGAACTACACAGTCACGTTTTTTCCATGGCCAGCAGCAAACGTGTTTTCTGAAACAAAAACAACACACCATGACCACTACTACTTTACTAAGTTTACCGATTTGTGAATAATGTTCAGTATACTGTGCTACGAATTGACCACTGTGTTTGCTAGGAAATAGGAGTTTGTTTGAAGAAAAAATCACCCTAAAGGGAAGTACCAAGCAAAGTGATTCTTTATACATTTATTCCCCATTTAATGAATTTGAATAAAACAAGCAAGATCATTCTTTTATTACCTAATTAATTATCTAAACTTGACAAACCTCATGTACACACACGTAAATAATTAAAATATAAATGCGATTGTACAGCTATGTGAATGAATTCGCCGAAAAGAGTCTATTTCGCTGAACGTCCTCTCTTTTTCAATATAAAGCAAGAACAACAGTTTTTACAGAATAAAATGATACCATCATTTATCTCCTTGGCTTCTCATCAGTTGCTTATAGGCCAAAGTCATTATTAAGTATATCCACAGAAACAATTTCAACATACTTACTTGCATAGATTTCTTTTTTAAACAAAAATCGATTAACATATGCATACAGTGTTAATATATATATATATATATATATATATATATATATATATATACATAATATTAAACACTATTCATAACAATAATGTTCATACACAGTGGAAACTTTCAACATTGCGTAATCAAATGAAAGAGAGGTGAAAATATCCAGTTACCAGTCAAGGAAGAGAAAGACTGATAACTGCTTCTTTCTGAACTCACAAATCAGGTTTCAGGCGCTTGATGGAGATCGCATTGGCAAACTTCAGGAAAATTGAACTCTTTTGTCTATTGTTAATTTTCAACAATCTCGTGACACCCACCTCATGACCCGTGTCAATAAGATGGTCCTATTTAAATCATTTGTTCCCTTTATATATATATATATATATATGTCCAACAACAACAGACAACAATCAGCACAAGTGGGAGGAATCTGAAAGAAACAACCTCCCTTACCTACATGCCTGGGAAGCATCGTTTCAACTACAGGTGGACGCAACTGATGAAGATATCAAAGTGAGGATTGCGAAAGCAAGACAAGATTTAATTACTCTCAAGTCTGAGTGAAGGTCAGCAGCATTCAGCACCAAAAATAAGATCTGGATTCTCAACTCCAGTGTGAAATCAGTGATACTATACGTATCAGAGACAAGGCACGTCATAGAGAGCATCTCAAACAAACTACAGACCCTCAGCAACAGCTGTCTTTGCTCAATACTTTGCTCAACATAGGATGGCTGGTCAGAAAAGATCAGCAACAGGGATCTCTGGGAGCGAATCAACACAGCAGGAACCGATTGTGCAGCAAATAAGCAGTAAGCAATGGAGGTGTATTGTGGCCATACTGTGTAGAAACCATCAAGTGGCATCACTACACAAGCCCTCGAGTTGCGAGTTGGTCGTTCAAGGGTAACTTACAGTATGTCGTGTGAGGAAGAGATGAAAGCATGTTTGCAGACATGAAGTCAGGTGAAAACTTTAGCAGAGAACCGAACGTAATGGAGACATACAGCTGAAGCCCTATGTTCCTCTAGGAATTAGAGTAAATAATAATATAAATAATATATATTACTGTATGCATACATTAATTGATTTCAGTTTAAAAATGAACTCTGTGCAATTATGTTGGAATTGTTTCTATAGATATACTTAATAATGACCTTGTCCTGTAAGCAGATGATGAGAAGGCAGCAAAATAAATTCTGATACCATTTTATTCTGCAAAACTTTCCTTCTTGATTTATTTAAGGGGATTTTTCTCAATATCACAGATCTATTAAAATTTCTGGGGTATATGTTTCATACTACCATAAACGCAAAGTATAACCTATTCAAGCATATAGTCGAATAATTCGCCCTTTCTCTTAGCCCATTTTTCATGTTCCTAATCACTTTGAGTAATGAAAGAGAATGTTGGTTTATCAGTGAGCAATTTTCTCTAGCAAGTATACAAGAAAAAAGGGCCCAGGTACTAAGTGGTATGCATACATTGTTACACAGAAGCAGGGTATCTCACAATGGATCAGAAATATGGACTGATATACTACAAGAAACCGATGATGGATAGGTAAATCAATCTGATCCAACTAAATATTAACTGATCATGATTTCATTGATATTCATAATCAGTTGCATTGAAAACAATATAATAAAACAGTCAAATATTTCCACTATTCCAATGAATGTTAATTGGTTATTACGTTCAGTGATGAAATAAACTGATATGTGTATTATTCAACTTACCTGTAAATGTTTCTCTAACAAGATAGCAGCAACAACAAATACATTTCCGATTATAGTACATAAAATAAGTAGACCAAGTACAATAACTGTTATCCATAATCTTGTCCATCCAAAACGTGCATGAAATTCAAAATATGAATAATTTATTGTCGTAGCATTAAAACTATCCGTTGTATTATTCATTATTCAAAAGTCTTCTTATGTGGTAATTTGAATTTCGTCAAAAAAATTGAGATAATGTCTATTGTCATTAATATGCCTTATCCAACTTTAGTCATTTTCTCCATATTGTTAACAATAATTTCCAGGTAAGAAGAAGTGTCATCTTTTAGGGTCCCAGTAGTACAGTAACATAAATAGTTATTCTTTTTTTCTTTCTTTATTTCTTAATGTATTCCCTTTCAAGCTATTTTGGTATTGTTACCAGATTGAAATTCTTTATTTTTGATCCACAGGAGATTTTTTGGGTTTTCCTTTTTATTGAAAACTCATCTAACCAATCAGATTATGCGTCCCAATTAGGCCTGAAATGTGATTGGTTAATTTTTTATTATTGGTATTATTAATCATATTTAAAATAGAAGTTTCAATCAGACAGAACTTAAATAGGGAATAAATGTTTTCTTTTCTATTTAAGATAATAATAATAGTCAAAATTATGAATTTCTTCAAGAAGGAATTAATATTTCTATCTAAAAGCAGTTTGTCGATGCATGTCAAGTTGTAAAGAAATAGTTATTGTAACAAGTAATGAAACCATGGAGTGCAGTATTTCGTCGTTTCTCGTCAGCTGCGTACAACCGTTAATATTAAATGAATCAGGTTATAATGCAGTTTATGACATAATTTTTGTTAAGAAGCCGAAGTCAGCCCTCCTGATTTTCAATCTTAGTTTAGACATGAACATAATGATAAGTTCTGAAACCCACACAAAAGATAATGTTGGATAGAAAAAGAATATGTTCCAATCAACTCTCCAGTTAGTGATCTATGAAATTGTTATCGAAGGAGTGAGGATAATGTAAGAGTGAATTATCAGACGAGTTGTTTTATGATATGCGAAAAGTAGTCATTTAGTGATGGAACTATCTGAGGCAAGGCTGAGTTCTCAGACTGTTAGTAATGTGATATGTAGTGATTTAACGTGATATAATCCCGATCGTGGTAAGATTCGCAAAAACGACCTTCATATTAGTATTTGGTACTGTGCTGAATGAGGTAAAAGATAGTTATTGTTATTAACTTTGATACATAAGTCGGTGAACAGGGTAATCAATCCAGTCACAGGTATCGACTTGTATTTTGGATACAACAGCGCTCTCACCATGAATAAAGTGGAGATTCAGTTAATTCGTGCACTTTTTCACATTAGTTAGCAATTACTGTTTTCGGCCATATTTGAAATTAAATGATAGTTCTCTAACTAATATCAGTCTGTGATCAACTCAGAAAAACAAAACTAATCCTTACAAACCGACTATAGAAAATTAATCTAATGCTGGTTAGTGACCTGCTACAGAACGACGGAGTTTCCTGGAGTTCTAGTGAGAAGTCGTGATCAGTGAGGTCCATCCAGTCGATTGTGAGGATGGAGCTTCCACCGATGACATTGGTTGGTGGTCGCGATATAATCACGAGTTGAAGAAGCTGGAATTCATGAGTTGGCCATTGAATCAGGTCCCAGTGACTGAATGGTATACGAGCTTGCCGGCCTTTTAACCAGAAAGTCCTGAGTTTGAACCCCATGGTGTGAGTGCGTACTGCCTATGATTACCAGATTGGGTTGAAACAGCTGTCCAGTACTCCGGGGCTGGTTTTCGCTGGTTCTGTGACTTATTTCAATCCATGATCAAATCGTAAAAATTAAATAAGGTTAGATTCACTTATGTATTCCATGTAAATTTAGAGAACCACTGGAAACTAGGTAGTAATGGACAGTAGTTTCGACCTCAGAGATACTCATTTTTGACCCTACTGGGGATCGGACTCACGTTTGGCATGTTTGAAGGCTAGCTCCTTGACTGTTTAGCTACTGAGACGAAATTCAGTGACTTCTATCAATTCACGATTATTAGGGTAACCGCTAGTCAATATAATCGGTGACTGTTTACCCTAATACCCAATTAGGTAGATCCCATTGGTCAAGACTCCCCACCTGAACTCAAGGTGACTTCATCATGTAGACAGTCACATTCATCACTCTGAAATCAGAACAAAATCCGGATTTTCACCACCTATGTTTTGTTAGTCACTGCTTCTATACAGGTCAGAAACGCGGTGACAATGTCATGAAAAGACTTTAATCAACAGCTGCCTGTCCTCTAAACTAAAGATTAGTTGGTTAGTCAGAATAGATTAGCAGCAAGGAACTATAGGAACCAACCAACCAATGACCTATTGACGCATAGATATGTCGGAGAAAATGTAGATGGATTAGACACACTTTATGGAGACCGTTGACTGATATCACGCGCTCTAATTCCTCAGATGGAAGCCGAAGAGATGACTATGACTTAAGAGTTCCGGAGCTTATGTGGAATAGATCATGTGAAGGGCATAAAAAAAAACTTATAAATAATCATGTAGCCATCTAAAAAGGATTTCAGAGAGCAGAGTAAAATAGTGATGGGCTTATCAAGCCCTATGTTCCGCTCAAAACCCAAGGGAATAATAAATATAACAGTGTAATTAATTATAATTATGCTGACTTTTGTTTATCTTCATACTTTGTGTGGGGTCAAATCATTCAACGGCAAAAATCAAAGGAAACTGTGAATATATATTAGACCATAATATCGATTTTCTACTAAAAAAAAAGTTGAAACACTCTTTCACATGACACAAAATCCTAAATGTTAACCTTTACAGATTAGTATTTAATTTCTTATAACATTTTTGTAATTTATCTTCAAAGATATATATAACAATGAATCGATGTGACCATGTGAAATGCCGTACTTAAATTATTTTTGTTTACATTTGCTCTCATTTACACGGTGGTCATGTAACGGTAATAAGATCCTAGACAAACAAATGCATTGACATGAATTCAAAAGTAGTCCATATCTTTATATTTCATGCTCTAGGTAAAAAATAATCTTTAATAGCAGTCAAAGACAGTTACATGAAAATACAATTTGGTGGATGGTGGCTAGCAGCGGAATCCAGGATAAAGCGCATTTCGTCCTTTTTGGGACTTGTCAGCTAGATGTACCTGCATTTCTCAGTGAGTGATGATGTTCCCACTGAGGCTCGAACCCAGTGCCTATAGTTTCAAACGCCAAAGCGTTATCCACTAGACCACTTGGGCCACGAGAGCCACCTCTTGTGCAACGGGTCATTTTAATTATTGAATTGAATTTTTGATTTTCCCGTCGATTGATTGGACCGAAGTGCTCGGTCTCAGGTTGACATGTCGGCTTTTTGTGCAGATGCTTTGACGATGTCTGGGCATTTGAAACTATGGGCACTGGGTTCAAGCCTCAGTGGGAACATCATCACTCACTGAGAAATGCAGGTACATCCAGCTGACGAGTCCCAAATAGGACGAAATGCACATACTGGATTCCACTGCTAGCCACCATCCACCAATTGTATACTAATCAAATCCCCAGACATCGTCGAAGCATCTGCACAAGAAGCCGACATGTCAACCTGAGACCGAGCACTTCGGTCCAATCAATCGACGGGAAAATCAAAAATTCAATACAATTCGTCATAGTTTTCAATGGCGAAATAAATCAGTAAATAAAGGCAGAACAATCTGAATACTTAAAACATGAATAAATAAAAATTAATGTTTGCGTGAATGTTTGTAGCTTATGATGAGGACCGTAAAATATTTGATATTTGGTTGTGAGCACTACATATTTAGGCCTAATGATAAATTTAGCACAAATGTAATTTTTTGATTCCTTTACTTTCCCAGTGGAACATAGGGCTTCAAGCTAGAGTCTTGAAGTTTCGGGATGGGGTTGCTAGCCTCATGACCAACCTTCCCACTTTACCAGTTTTATCACTGACTTAGTGAGGTGAAGAAGGAGTGCGGAGGCCAGGGATCAAACCCCGAACCGCATGAATAGTCGGCCAGCACTCTACCACTGTGCCACCGACGAATCTCGTTAAGAAATGAGAAACACTTGAATACTGTTATTCTTTTTTTTCAATTCTCTCTCCAAATGCTTCAAATGCTCTCTAACTGATCATTTCACTAAAGTCAGCACTGACAATGAGAGGAATGGATGTCCTGTAGCTGAGATGATACAGCGCTGCGATCTAGTAATCCAAAGGCTGATTATTCGAATTCCACCATTACTCAGTTTTTTATGCAGTCTTCAGTCGTCACTCATTATACACAATTGTATACATGCTGGAAATAATTATAATAAAAGTCAATCCTGAACGAAGAAGATTCATTTCAATAAATTCTTTTCCGGTTCTTACTATTTAAAAATGTATTATTAATCTTAAGAATAATCGCTAGTCGTGCAACAGGTACATTTTACTCAGAATAATAGACGAGTTATAGGGTGACAAAATAAATAATATTTGTATGACAAATGTACTGATCTTAACTCAGTTACTCTCTACACTTTCTAGACTTCTTATTAATGAGAAAATGGGATGAATCCATTAAAAGAACTTTATTTAGAAAGCTGGAGATTTGAACTCAATATATATATAGTTCCTCAACTTGGTACCTGTTAAATAAAAGCGTAATTGAATGAGGTACTAAGCATTCAGGGGGAGGCTGATTTGCTCCAAAGACTGTATAGAGAAAGAACTGTAGGTCATCTGGAATGTTTTAAGCGAAAACGGATAGCAAGAGTAGTTTTTAGTTTGATTGGAGACTAGTGAGTAACTAGTGTAATATGTCTAGAAGTTTGTATGATATAGACTGAATTCTATCAATAACGTTTGCAATACGGCCACGCATTAAACTAGCTAGTAACTAGAGTCTAATCAAAGTATTCAAAACAGTCCTACAGAAGGTCAATCGCGAACCTAAATAACTCATTAGTAAGGTCTCTGATTGTGAACTGTGGGAACATGTGAGAATAACATTCCGTTGGCACACATTGTCTGTACCACACTACCATACTCTTCCACACGTCAAATACTTTAGGCTGAATTCGTTTGGATCTTCCTGGTGCTGGCGGCTTTGTAAGCTTGTCTTGCTGTATCGAGTCCCGTAGCCCACTAACATTCACCCGCCCCTCTTTATTTGCATTTCTGAATGTAAATACGTGACCCCGTCTCATGGTGACCATGTATGATCCTTGCCACTTTGGAAGCAGTTTGCATGACCCTGCCTCGTCTTCGCCGCTGTTTCGCCTCACAATATCATTTGCTGCCATTGTCCGTCCTCTCGCCAGCGTTCCAAGTAACAGTCTCAACGTTGAGAAATCTTGAAAGCCACTCAACTGCCCAACAGCCTTGAAGTCCTGACCG